GTTTACTCATAGAATAAGTATGAGTAAATCCCACTTATATATTAGTAAATGTCACTATATGAATAAAATTTACTCATATTTGATAAAAAAAATCTCATTCTACGAGTGACCTACGCTTTTACAAGTTTGAGCAAACGGTACGGTACGGTATGAATTGGTCTCATTTGCCGTGAAGTTTGTTTTGATGGGAGGATTGACTGCACGCTATTTCTAAACAACCAAAATTTGAGTAGGATCTACTGCCGGCGCCGGTGGTGTAGTGGTAAGCGTGACTGCTTTCTCACCCCAATGGGTCTGGTTTCAATCCCAGCCGAGGTCAGTGGGATTTTTCTGAGGCTTAAAAATCTCTGGTCACGTCTTCCTTCGGAATGGGAAGTAAAGCCGTTGGTCCCGGCCCATGTGTGTTTGAATGGGTGCGATATCCTACGCAGGTGTGGAAGCTGCCTTCCTTGCTCATTCGATTGCCGTCAATGGATGGCAATCGATGTCCGTCGGTGATTAGCACTAGATTGCGGAACAGAGACCGACGTTAAATAAAGGAAAGAAGTAGAAGAAGAGTAGGATCTACTCATATCCTACACTACACTAAATTGAACAAACAAATTTGGAACTGACAAGATGACAAATAAACAACTTCGTTGGGATTCAGGTCGATGTTTTCCATTCGACATCTAAACTTTGTTTACTAATTTGGGGTGGCCTACTTTTGACGAATATGAGTAGATCCTTCTCAAATTTTGTTTGTTTAGAAATAGCGTATGCACCGTGTCGACCCTTCCTTTCACGCTTAGATTAACATTTTGCCTACGGGATTTTTCAGTGGAGTGAAAGTATAAAAAACGATCCGCTATGTTTCACGAAATTCGACATTTGCTTATGGCATTTTCCTATAGGAGTGAACAGCTGCAGAGTCATCGTCAACGCGAATGGTTTCATCAATACCAAAACAAAGTTATCAAATAAAGTTCGTAGGCCATAATTAGGAACACATCTCAAAATTATGTCCCTAAAGTTCGGTCTATAGTATAAAGTGCTAAAACACCTTCAATTTATGAAATAGGTACCTGCATTATGTTCTCATTGTATTTTCGCAATTCTTCTAATAGTTAGCTAGAATTCTGCAGATTTCTAATTACTCCAAAAATTAATTCAATCATCTAATATATCCATGCAAGAAAATCGGTTGTCCAGGAATTATTCTAAAGAGCTTGAATTGATCAAATACCACCATAATGTTCTCTTCTGGGGGTGACCTCGACGTAGTGGTTACATTCATACCTCTCACGCCAAAATCACGAGTTCATATCTCACCCCCGGACAAGTCATAAATGACCCATGAGCTTTAAAGTGAATATAATTTAAAAAAAAATACAATTAAAATAAACTTTATTATGTTAAACACAAATTATGCTTCGTGTGTAAAACACGCTGTTTCACTTCTCATCGATCTTGTTTTCCGTGCTGAGCACCAATGCTACCAACGCCAGGGAGACAGCTTCCACACCTGGACCCTACCTATCGACTCATCAACTCATGAACCGGGGACCAACGACTTTACTTCCCTTAACCACGCTTAACACTACACCACCGGCGCTGCTATTTATTCATTTCTGTTTGATATGTTTACATGTTACACTCAAAAAATTCCACACGTCGTCATTATGTGTCTCACACTTAATTTTGCGCATATTGTGAAACACATCCATTTCATGTGTGAATCTTATGCTATGAACCATGTCTGAACACTATGGATTTGAATTGTGACACACTTGGATTCTATGTGCCTCATATGGTGATATCAATAGCTTTGCACACCATAGTTCAATATTCTACAATATTCTACTTTATCGAATTCTACTTTACCGACTCTAAAAATGAATCGACAAATATATAAACAAAACTGCCAGAGGCCAGAGCTTTCACATATATTTTTAATGGGTCTGATTTGGGATTCGATCATGGACTGTTGGGGTATGCTGCTGCCGGAGTCTTCGTTCGATCTCACTGTGTCACGGTTCTCATATATGAGGCAGGTTGATAGGATAAAGTCACAACTCTTGTTATCGATGTATACCTTTCTGAGCAAGCAATTCACATCGTATTGAAATGCAAAACACTTTAAATCCATCTGTTTTGAACAGTAGCGTGATTCAATGTGCATTACACTTGAATAGATAGTGAAAGATTTTCAACATTTCAAAGTTTGAAACACTATAAATTAACGTGTATAACACATTGAACCAAGGTGAAATACACTTAAAGTAAATGTGATTGTGCATTTAGAAAATCAAGTGTTTAAACACTTCGATCAAACGTGTGAAATTGTTTGAGTGTATACCTCAGGGAAGCCACATGGGACCGTTAATTTTTATGCTGTACTTCAACGACGTGCATCTCATCGAAGCTCCTCGGTTATCATATGCAGATGACCTCAAAATCTTCCTACGAATCTGCTCCATTGCTGACTGTCACTTTCTTCAACGTCAACTGAATGTATTCGCTAGTTGGTGCAGGTTAAACAGAATGGTAGTGAACCCAGTCAAATGCTCCGCTATTACGTTCTCACGAAAACAACAACCGATAATATTTAGCTATGACATGCTTGGCTCGAAAATCGAACGCGTGAATCAGGTGAAAGACTTGGGTGTGATCTTGTATTCGCAGCTTTCATTCAAGCAACACATTGCATATGTTGTTGATAAGGCGTCAAGAACTTTAGGGTTCATTTTTAGGATAGCTAAAAACTTCACTGATATCTACTGTCTAAAATCTCTCTATTGTTCGCTTGTTCGATCGACGCTTGAGTATTGTTCAGCGGTTTGGAACCCAAACTACAACAACGGTGCCGAGAGAATTTAATCTGTTCAACGTCGCTTTCTTCGTTTTGCGTTGCGTAGATTGCCTTGGAATGATACGTTTCGATTACCAAGTTACGAAAGCCGTTGTCAACTTATCGACCTAGAACTTCTCCGGACTAGATGAGACACAAGCAGAGCCCTAACCGTGGCCGATATCCTACGAGGAAGGACAGATTGTGAGGCTATTCTGAGGCAAATGTTCAACCCCGACCGCTTCGTAATAACCTTATGCTAAGACTGCCTCTACGTCGCACAAATTATGGAGCGTACGGTGCGATTTGCGGACTGCAGAGAACATTCAACAGAGTTGCATCTGTTTTCGACTTTCATCTCTCCCGTGATGCGCTTCGTCGAAAGTTTTCTTCTGTTTTTCGCCGGCAGGAGTTAAGATATTGACTATAAGTTATAAGATATACGTTATTTAATGTTTTTTTAATTTTATGACCATGCTTGAATGTATTTTTTTACCATAGTTGATAAGGTTAAAATCATTGGGGCCAGCCTGCTGTTGATGTAAAACAACAATAAACAAAGTTTGACAAACAGAAATGAGCATTGCGTGTAGTTACCAATTTTTCAAGTCATAGACTTCAGATAACTGTTCAAAGTCCCAGACTTTTTATAACGGAATCATGAACAAAAAACCAAAGACCACTATGACAAACGCGATCGGTCTGAAGGACCCAAGTTCCAAACCCTTTTGTAAACTCACATTTTTTTTTTGGAAATACCTCAAAAGCCTATTCCAGCACTTAAGGGGAAGTTAACAGGCCCGAAAAAAAAATATTTTCGGTGCGTTTTTATTTTCTAAAAATATTGGGAAAAAATATCAAAAATCCAAGAAAATCAGTTCCTTCCTTAAATTTTTGTCAAAAATTACATGCAAAAATATTTTTTCTATCTCATCATGGAAAAATTGGACCCTCAGCAAAACCGAAAAGTTGATGTTTTGTGGTTTTTTGAGTTCAACTTTACGCCATAATGACTTATAAAAAATGTTTGTGCACGTGAATTTTCTTTGAAAAATTAGAAAAAAAAATTGATTTGTTTTTAGATTTTTGATACCTTTTTTTCTATATTTTTAGAAAAATCAAAACGTAATTATTTTTTTTCGGAGCGGTGAACTCCCCTTTAAAGAAGGTGGTAAAATTTTGATCACAAATTTGGAAAAAGCGCAGAAACTTGCTAAGCAATCTGAGAGTTCCCATAATTTCAGTTTGGGTCTTACTAGTCCTATTGAGAATCAGGTGGGTCGGGACTATCTGAATATTTTCTCTCGGGAAAATATTTTTGATGATTCCTGGGGGACGAAGTAAGATCTATAACTAAAAAAAACAATCAAAATATAAAAGATCCAGGTGATGATGGAATTTTCTATATCCTCATCAAAAAACTTCCAGAGTACTTTGTCTTTCTTGGTAAAATTATTTGACAGATGTTTCCATTTGGCATACTTTCCTGATAAATGGAAAAATTCCAAAGTTATTCCAATTTCGAAGCCGGATAAAAATCCAGCTGAACCTTCTAGCTACCGTCCAATAAGTTTGCTTTATTCAATAGGTAAACTTTTTGAAAAGATAATTTTGAATAGAATGATGCTTCACATCAATACGAACTCAGTTTTTGCAGATGAGCAGTTTGGATTTCGCCTTGGACTTAAGAGTTATAGTACGTTCAGACTACAGAGTTATAACATGTTATAGCGCTATCTTGATGGTGGTTTCTGTGTTGCAATTATTTGACAACCGTTATAACATGTTATAACTCTCCAGTCTGTACAGCGTTTAACGTAATTCGGTCAAACAATTCTGTAGGCTGCTCAACTGGAGTTGCTCTTCTAGTCATAGAAAAAGCATTCGACAGTGTTTGGCATGAAGACTCTTATTATAACATTGACTATGACAGAAACCTCTATTGGCAACCCTGGTAACTAACACCTCTAAACACATCAGATTTGTTTTCAACCACCAGCTCGCTATAGTGTTCGTGAGTTCTTCTGGTAGGAGTTTAGGAGAAAAGCGAAAGCTCAAAATGGCGCGCCATTTTCTAGAAAAGCGACAGTGCACATTAATTTCCGATTTTCGATTCCTTGCAAAGTAAGGTGCACCGGTACAGCATTCAAAGATATCACAATAACCATACCTGCAACGGCTGTAGTAGGATCGGTTGTAATTACACTATTTTCTTTCTCGATGGCTTCTTTGAGACGCTCCACGAGAACCGCTTTCACACCTTTTGTATCGAGGCTACGGGTGGCTAATTCCGCCTTCAGGTCGTTCACTTTCATTTTGTTATAGTCCATTGTGGCGGAAAATATTTCCAGTTAAATGCTAAATGTGATCAGTAATAATCTTGTAAAACTTCACTAGTCAACATTAACAACACGCGTCCTGACCAATTGCGACTACGCTCGACCGAAGCGGAATACAATGAATGAGAATTGAGAACGAGAAAGTTCGACTGTCAAACTCCATTACAGGGATGCCAGATAGTTAACTTTTAACTCATTTTCGAGTTTAAATCACGGGAGCAAACGGTCTAAGAGCATCTCCACCGCGGGGGCGCTAAACGGGGTTTAATACCTATTTTAGCAACAACGACTCCCACCGCGGGGTGCAAAATGAAAACTTTATCGTGAACGCACCCCTAATAAAAAATAACCATAAACGAACGATAACCCAAATCATTGAACTATTCCACACATGGTTTGGATGATACCCAGAACACGTCGTTAAGCAAATTAACCATACAATTTTTATTAGGGACTCCCGGGTAGTGTTTTGTTTTGTTTCTGTTTTGAAATGGTTGGAGGAGGGAAAATAATAACAGTCGCTTCAAGGAAAAGGGAGGCTGTTTTTACAGGTAAGTAAATGTGAGTTAATTACGAGGTTAATTGTTAATTTAATATAATTATCTTTTTTAGGAAAGTGCACCAGTCCGAAGCCGGATCATGGCAGGGAATCCAAAGCTGGATTCCGGCAGAGAGTTTGAAGCCGAATCTCTTTGAAGGTGAGTGAATTTGTTTAATAAAAGTGGAGATGATTGGAACAGGACCCCGATAGAAATCCGATGACGGAATCCGTCTACGGATCCCGATGATGGATTTCATTGACGGGTTCCATACACGACGGGTTGCGTAGACAAATCCCGATTACGGGTTCCGTAGACGGATCCCGATGACGGGTTCCGTAGACGGATTTCGATGGGGATTCCGTATTTGGATCCCGTAAACGGATCCTGATGGGGATTCCCTAAACGGATCCCGATGAGGATTCCGTAAACGGATCCCGATGGGGATTCCGTAAACGGATCCCGATGGGGATTCCGTAAACGGATCCCTATGGAAATTCCGTAAACGGATCCCGATGGTGATTCTATAAACGAATCCCGATGGGGATTCCGTAAACGGATTCCGATGGGTATGTAAAGTGTTCTTCTCAAAGAATAAAGAAAGTTTGAGTGCTTCTAACTATACGTTTATTCAGGTTGACATCTACACTTCGAATCACTAATTTTTCCATCTCAGTCGCAGCTGTAGGTTGCTTCGATTACTTGAATGGAACATCGTGATTGCTTGGATGGAACATCTCCCCTCTTAATTCATCCAGTACTCCTCGAATCTAGCTGGTAAACGAGTCTGCCGGCGTTCCCTTGTTGCTGGCGGAACTGGTACTGGATCTTGCTGTGGTGGGTTGTCTGCCTCACTATCATCCGAAAAATACTCCGCCTCATCACTTCCAAGCTCTTCATCAACTGGACCAAGTTCGTCGGGCACTGCAGCCGGTATCGTTGCTGGAACGGATGGTACTGTGGGGTGTAAATATGACTGAATAGATTAATATTCGTTATGTATAGCATCCATTACTGAACCCCTTGGTAAACTGTCAGATGGATGAACACATTCACTCTGCTATTCATTCTCTCCCGCCCGAATAGCACCTCAGTCAGCAAGCACAGCATTCGTCCTCTTTCGGTCGCAGCTCATCAGGCAGATAGGACGGTACCACTGGCGTTGCCCATTGGCGCTGAGTGATTCTCGTGCGGAGAAATATTCAACTTCCACAGGTACGTCTAGGCCAAAACCGTCGAAGAATACCGATAACAGACTAGGACCTTGGCTTGGACTAGGATCTGGACCAGATTCGACCGTACGTTGCTTCAGTTGATTGGCATGAGAACGGAAGAGCCGCTGATTATCCTCCAGGAAAACGTTGTACACGCAGAAAAAACTATCGTCGAAACAAAAATATTTGAGGTAAATTCAAACGTAAACTCAGTTTGTTCTGGCCACAAACATAAATTAGGTTGATTTCAAACGTATTCAATGTTTGAAGTCATGTGAAATCAATGTTTAAAATAAAACTAATGTTACGTTTATTTCAAAAATATTCGTGTTGAAAATAAACGTAATTGTTTTTGTTTGATTTGACAGCTATGCGAACAATAATAAATATGTTTATTTTAAACATGCTTCTCTATATTTTGAAATTATTTTAGTATTTGAGTGCAGGGTAAAGCAAAATAAAACGGTTTGCAAAGAAATAATAAAATAAGATCTTCGGGCAGGGCATCTAAATTCCTGCTCTTATTTTGGGTGCGATTAAGGGTGACCTGTGGGAATTGGGGTCCTGGTCCAGGATGCGAGGACCCGTCGGGGTGGGTGTCCGGGGGTTCCAGTTCAGTGGAACTGGTGCAAATTTGTGTTATTGGCGTCGTTTTGCCTTTTCTGCCTCGGTTTCTGCCACTGGTCCTCATACCGGTTTCTTTCTATGTTCGGTGTCGGAGGAGGATCCGGAATGGATTCGGAATGGATAATCGTTTTCTGTTGAGGTAGAGCAAAGCTGGGGCAACTTTTTCCTGAATGTAACAAGAAGGAAATAAAAAGGCATGACACGCTAAAAACCGTTTACCAAAATCCTATATTGTTGAAATAAACATGCTTTTGAATTTAATTCAAGCAAAAATATTTTAGTTTTAAACATGCTTTCAATTAACTTTGAATAATTCATATGTTTACACGGACAGAAAATTGTTTGCATTGAACCAAAAAAAACTTTATTTGTATTTACACAAACAATTCCGGTTGAAATTATATTACATTTTATTGTTTCGATAATATTTATTCAAATAAATTCAAAATAAGATTCTATTTGTTTTCATAAGCCACTCTTCAACTGCAACTATTGTAAAAATAACAATATTCTTTTATCAAGCCAACAATAGTTAATTTTAATTTAACATTTATTTGTTGTGTCAATTCCCCGGGCCATGAATGCAAAAATAACTACCAACCATTCCCTCGTGAAAACCCGGACAAAAATGTAAACAATAACAAAAAAATTCTCGTTTGATTCAGCTCTAGAGGTAAGTAAGTATGCTGCTGTTGCATAATATAAACAGTTTTTCTTCTTTTCCTTGATTTTTCCGTCGATCTTATTTTCAGTACTGAGTACCAATGCTCCCAACGCCAGGAAGGCCGCTCCCACACCTGGACCCTACCTATCGACCCATCAATTCATGAACCGGAGAGATTTTATGCCTCAGAAAGTTTTTTTTTTTAATTTAATTGTTATTCTGTTGGTAACAAAAAGAAAACAAAACATAAAAATAATCGCAAATTATTAAAAATTAAATCAATAAACATATTTTTATTTCTACTGCGTATATTTTTAGGCTTAATAAAATAAATATGATTGAATCAACAAGAAATCTCTTTTAAAAACAAACATATTTTTTTGTTGACCCAGCTGCCAAATTTGATAGCTTACGTCAAAACCATAAAAGTTCTTGTAAATTCGAAAAGATTTTCTTTTTGATTTAACAATCCATGGGTTTTTAAAAACAAAGATACTGGATTGTTGAAATAATAATGATTTCATTTTGCAGCCAAAACAAAATGAAATTCTTATTAAATTTACGTCAAATATTATTACGTTTAAAATATTTTTTTCTGCGTGTAGAGTATAAACATTTATATTTTTGTTTTAAATAAACAAAATTCGTATCCGTGTAGTTGACTTTTCCGACATGCTCGATTACTGTGGCAGCCTGCCATTTCCAGGAATTTGCTTGATGGACTTGAGCATATACAGCATCACCCGGAACGAACTGCCTCGAAATCGCTCCATGCTTCTTGTTGAAACGCTTGTTTTGCTCATCTGCTTTCGGTTGTGCTGCTCGAGGTGCTGCTGATGTACGGTTGTGTTGTGGAAGTAGCATTGACGAAACTGTGCGGACCGGTCGTCCGAACATTATTTCTGCAGGCGACTTTTCACCTAGGTCAGCCGTTGGTGTTGACCTGTAAACTTGTAAAAACGTCTGCAATGCTTCCTCCAGTGTGTCTCCTCCCGATCGAATCTTCCGAAGAGTGCGCTTCAAGGTGTCCACGAACCGTTCTGCTAACCCATTTGATTGAGGATGGAATGGTGCTGTGCGGTGGACGTGGTGAATGCCTTGATTCTCACAGAAATTCTTGAACTCGTAGCTGGTGAACTGGGTACCATTATCTGAGACGATGGTTTCTGGCACGCCAAATGTTGCGAACGTTTGCGTAAGTAGCTTGATTGTTGTTCTTGTCGTTGTGGTTTTAGTTGCGTATACTTCGGGCCATTTGGTGTACGGGTCGACAACTACCAGGAAAAATACGCCGTCCACAGGTCCTGCGTAGTCAATATGGATGCGTGACCACGGCTTATCAGGGATGGGCCACGTTTCAAGCGTTGTTTTGACTGGTGCTTTTCCAGAAGTGCAGCAGAGAGTGCATTGCCGGACGAAATTCTCGATGTCGTTGTCGATTCCGGGCCAGTAAACGAAACTGCGTGCAATAGACTTCATTCGTACCATGCCGGGATGTCCGCGATGAAACTGCTTCAGGATTTGCCTTCTGAACTTGCTCGGAACGACTACCCTGTCGTGGAACAGTATATAGCCATCGACGTTGGTGATAGACTCCAGCCTGTTGAAGTAGACTCGAATCTCTGGATCTTCGACTGATCGTGCATCGTTTGGCCAACCCTCACGAATGAACTGCAGCACCGCTTGTAGTGGTTCATCTGCCTGTTTTGCACTTTTGATGTCTGTGAACGAAACTGGTACCTGCTCGATAGTGTTTTGAATAAAGCTCACCATGTCTTTTTTTAGGGATATCGCTGCCACAACGTACTCCTCTTCTTGCTGCTTAGAACGGTCGATGAGTCTTGACAGCATATCGGCGCATCCGAAGTCTGGCATTGAGAAGCATCAATGCCCACCATTGAAGTCGATTTGCGGTGTGCAAAGGAATGCCCTTCTTCGATCCAAAGATTGATAACAGCGGTTTGTGATCCATGAGCAGAGTGAATCTGCGCCCAAGGAGGTACTTGTGAAACTTCGTTACCGCATATATTAGTGCAAGTGCTTCTTTTTCCGGCTGCCC